CATCGAATTGCTTAGCACCCATCGTATTCACCAGATTTGTACCCAAGTAGCGATTACTATCTGTTCGCAGACTTCAAAACACTGTTTCTGGAAAAAGAGATTTGACTCCGATGAACAATTCATGGTCCAAAATTATGACATATTTTAAGTACAAAGATTTTTTTTTTTGAATGCATTTATTTTATTACAATCTATCAGGTATGAATGACAATAAGTAATATTTATTACGAGTTAAAAAAAAAGGCGCGTATGTACTATGTCCTGTCATAGATATATAAGACTTTTTTCAAAAATTTTCTTCTCAGCCTTGTAAAAGTGCCTTGTAAAAGTGTTGGAAGAAGATATCAAATGTGTAATCAGTGGGTTTGTGTGCGATATATATGCGATGAGCGTAGTTTTTTATAATTCGAGATATTTCTTCCTTGGAAAAGTGTTCTTTGGTTTGCAAAGAAACTGAAAGCTTTAAGACAACTAATTTTGTTTTGAACTCAAAAGTTCTTGTCTATATTTTTCGAAAATTTGTGCAAAAATAATACAACTGCTTTTCTCTTAAGTTAATTTCCATGTCAGAATTACACGGATCTGAGGAAAGTATATTTTATTTTCATTATTTACACTTGATTTGAATTAAAGATTCATAAGATACTTCTTATCAGTTTGTCTTCAAATTGTTATTTGATATCTAACCCATGATGAACCAGAGAGAAAATAATCTTAAAATTCGTAAAATATCTTAACATTTTATTGTAACTAAGCTTACAAAAAAAGTACGCGTTTATATGTATGCATATATTATTGTAATACTTAGGGATACACCTTCTCCGCCAATAGGCCTATTGTATATCCCTAGAACTTTTACTAATATGTCCAACCGAGTTAGTTACTTTTTCCTTTGTAAAAAAGTAGCAGTGATACAGTGACCAATATATACTTCTTATTTTGTCATACTTAATTAAATAGAGTTTAGATGAACTCTACGAATTTTGGTTATAATAAAATATTAATAAATCATATATGCATTACCACAACAAATGCCGACAAATGAAAATAAATATATTTGGTTTAAGTGAAATATATCCGCTGTTTCATAGTTTGATTAATAAAAGTAATTTATTCATTTAAATTTTTAAAGTAACCTTTCCAATATAACAAGGAATAATATAACTTAAGTTCATTGTTATTCAATACTTTAGTTCATTTTAAAATTTACATTGAAACAATTAATTGAATTTAGTATGCCAATCAATCACCATATTGACATTTATTATTATGAATAAATTAAATCTTCGTTTTGGTAATTGTTTCATAATTTGCATTCATTCATTAAAACTGCATTTCAATGCATATGAAAGACACTACATGCAAATGTCATATCCTTTTTCAAATTCCGAAAGCTTAAAATGGTAACTGAATCGGAATGCAATTAATTCATTATTATTTAAATTGAAAATTGTTTAAGAATTTAAAAAATACAATGAAAGTTAATGCATTTAAATAATTTATTTTCAAAATTAAGGAACTAAAAAGGATGCATTATATTAACATCCTACATTATTTGTATCTACATTTGAGTTCATTTCAAATTCTATTGTTACGAATTTATTTTAATAAAATCTAAAATGAATTTCAATTAATATTTAAAGGAATCGAAAATATATTATATGTAAAATTTACTTATTAGAACCATTGTACATAAAAAGCAATCCTTTTTAAATGAATGAAATCGAGCTTAAAAAATATCTTAATAAAATATTTATTATTTCGGAAGTTGAACAAAATCGTAGCATGTTTTTAGGCGTGAGTTAATGCTTCTTAATAATCTCATTTATTTTCTAAGAAATTTTTCTTATAGCGATGAGTAATTCACTTGAAATTTTTATAAATTATTGTTAATAAAATTAGTCAATTTGCTAAATATTAGCTAAATATTAGTTAAATCTTTGTGACTGTTAGTTTAAAAATTGAATAATTATCAGTTAATATGTGATATCTCCATATTGTCAGGAAAGCAATTCACCTTAAATTCCATAAAAGGTATTGAGAAGCTTTTAAATTAACGATTTGAAATTGAAATCGATTTAAATTACCTTAAAAATCGAATGTTTATTTAGAAACTCGCATTAGAAATACTTTTTTTGTTTTTTAAATGCTTTAATTTCCTTCTCAAAAAGTGTATTTTGCTCCACTATATGTCATCTGATTTCAATAACAAACCTATGTCAACCGGATTAGTCAACTCAATTGTTTTCTGTCAAGATTTAACTGGAAATATAACTAAAAATTAACTGAAAAATAATACTTTGCTTAGGGAGAACTCTACCTAGAATGTCATCATATGTGATATAATATTCAATACACTCTATTTATCGTTATTGTGTGTAATTACAAATATATTTTATAGTATAGTAAGAGTTATTTCAATATTTTAATTATTAATAATTAGTTCACTTAAGTTTCATGCAAACGACCATTAACCAACAACTAACTACTCTTCTCATCAGGGTAGCCATCGCCGTACATATGTCACTCACTTAAAAGCTTCTACAGGGTTTCAAAGCGATAACTTCACTAGAAATTCTACAATCTAATCATACATTCACCATTTAAGACATAACTTATAATTATTATTATTTTCTTATAATCTTATTATTTTTATTAAACTTTAAAAAGCCTCTGTCCTTTTTTCGACCACAATTGTCTTCACTAGAAATTCTGCAATCTAATCATACATTCACCATTTAAGACATAACTTATAATTATTATTATTTTCTTATAATCTTATTATTTTTATTAAACTTTAAAAATCCGCTGTCCTTTTTTTGATAACAATTGTCTTCACTAGAAATTCTACAATCTAATCATACATTCACCATTTAAGACATAACTTATAATTATTATTATTTTCTTATAATCTTATTATTTTTATTAAACTTTAAAAAGCCGCTGTCCTTTTTTCGACCACAATTGTCTTCACTAGAAATTCTACAATCTAATCATACATTCACCATTTAAGACATAACTTATAATTATTATTATTTTCTTATAATCTTATTATTTTTATTAAACTTTAAAAAGCCGCTGTCCTTTTTTCGACCACAATTGTCTAAATAGTTGTAGGTGTACTCAGAGTGCCAGTTGTTCTTTGTCACGATAGTTATTTCATCTCCGATTTCTTCATCACTTAAGAGTTTTTGCGTATATACCACACCGCATCTACTTTTATGTAATGAGGCACCTTAACTGTGAGCACCAAAACTTGCAGGAATGCATATCCTCAGAAAATTTAATGTTATAGCACTACTTATGCAAATAACACCAAATATAGTTACTTTGTCCATGGTTTAGCAGATGAAAGAGCATTATTAAAATTTCTCATGAAGAAAAGATCTTTAGATCTTTTATAACGATAATGGTGCTTAATTAATCTTTGACTTTCACTAGTAACTCCAGTAAGTCACCGATAGAGATAAGACAACGCAATTTGACTGAATAATAAAAGTGCAGAGTATATTGTTTATCAGCGAGAACAGCAAATTCTCTTCGTAGTCTCGAGCAAAGTTATTTGACTAGGAGTTTCTTCCCCTTCCAGACAGAAACGATATTCTGTCATTAATTCATTGTTTTTAATTCACCTTTCATTAGCAGTGAATTCAATATTTCAAGATTTTCTGTGAGCTTTCTGGAACAAAACCAGTTTTTTAGTTTATATATGTTTATCTTAGTTTTATACTATATAAAATTTAGAAACTTTTTGACTTACCCATCAAGATATGTATATTATTTTAACATAAGGAAGTTCAAAGAGATATTGTGCTAAAATTTTTAGAAATGATAGAGCAGGTCAAGGTGTTAAAAAAATTACCGGTGCCTCAACTGCCTGCTGCTGTGGATATGTACTACTTACAAAGAAAATGTTGATACTATATAATTGAAATATATTATTAGCAAAAATGAAAGAGAATCTTTATTTCTTTTACGAAAAAGCTTATAGATGTTGCAAGTGTGCTTTTTTAATTAATAAATGCTTTTTTTTACATAGAATATATAAGAACTATTTTTGGAAAGTTCAATTTGGTGTAAAGATACTAGTTTATGCAGTACTCCTCTATTTACGTGTAACTTAAAAAAGGTTAACTGTTTAGAAATCAATACCAATAATTACATTTTGTCTTTATGTTTCTTGGTTTTTTAATTATTTTTGTTAATTAATTATTATTTGGAGAAATAGAAAAAATTAATTTATTATATTTATTATTTTTGTAAAACTACTTTAAGTCCTAACTGGTGTTTATATTTTTACTGTAAACCAATTGAATTAAATTAATCTTAATATAAAAATCACATAATTATTTATAATTGAAACGTTGCAGAGTATAGGGTATTCAACAACATTCGAAAAAAATATATACTTAATTATAAAATATATACTTAATGAAAAAATATATAATGAAGAAAAGATATTCTCAAAAACAAAACTATTTGTTTGTGTTTTGCTTGAAATTGTTTTTTTTTTGTTTATTTTGCATTTATTCCCCATTAAATATATTTTTATTTATTTTGCAATCTTTTTTTTTTTGTAAAATTAAATTTATTATGTCAACAATGACTTAACAGTTTAATGAATAATTTAATTGTTAGAACTATTCGTACGTATTCCACACAAATATATGTTCCAAATATATAGAACATTTATATTTGATTTGATTTTTGTTTAAAATATCAAATAAATAATAAATTAAATTGCATTGTAAACAGATTTTATATTATTTAAAAACTTTATATTAATCACTTAGTATATATGTAAAATCAGCAAAACGTAGCTCACTACTGTAGTCGCATAGTGCAGACACTAAATAAAGAAATTGAAATATTTATAATATGTGTATGTGTGTGTATGTGTGAACCTGTTATCGCATTTCCAAATGTGTTCACTCTCGCCGGCAAACAACACCAACAAACAACAACAAAGTTCTTTATAAAGGCAAAAGCATTTCCATTGGAAACAAGTTCTCTGCGAATTCAGTGCCCGTTTGGATCTTGACACTTGCGATTGATTCGACTTTTGAGGCGTTCCTCGATAAGTGAAGTGAAATAAAAATAATTATTTAAAAATATTTTGTTATAAAATATGACCGAAAAACGTAAGTTGGAATAAAGTTAAAGACACAACATTATAGTAAAATAATAATAATAATAGTCTCTGAAACGGTGTCTTCCTACTTCTTAGAGCCAGGAAAATACTCGTAATCACTTTAAACTTAAATGTAAACAATAAATGTAATCATTCGTACTCATCTCTTTTGATAAACTCAACACTGATATATAGTTGTATATACTATATAGTAGTGTCATATATAACATATATATTGTAGATTAAAAATTTTAGCTTTTACAAATAATTAACAAATAATAACTAGAGATACCACAGCAGGTGTTTACTTACAATAAAAGTTCTGAAGAGAAGATTCAACCCATTGAAATCTATACTTGACACTGGTATATAAGAGTAGACAAATTAAGTTTCTTATTAAAAAATATATTTTTCTTAAAGGTTTGGTTAGAATAACTATCTTAAGTGGTTTTTGCAAACATTAATGTGATTAAAATAATCATATTAACTAGATTGTGTTTTTCGTAGATTACAGAAATTTACTACCAACAGAAGTATAACCCAATTTTTGCCTGGGAATATTTCTTTTAACTTATTATTTTGTATTTTAAAGTAAATATAGTGTTTTGTAAAGTATAAGAAATTTTTAATTCGTCAGTATTGTACTTATTTAATGTGAGTAGTAACAATGGTACTAAGAGATGTTTAAGATCTAGTACACTTTCACTGGAAAAAGATTGCTAAACCTAAAAATTACAAGTTTTTATTTTTTAAATTAAAATTAACAGTCGGAGAACATAATCAGATAAGATGGGTTAATGTTTTAGTGTTTATTTCACTGAAAATTTAGAATAATTTTTTAACAAAATAATAGTGGATGACAATAATATTTTAATATTTTTAATGATGTAATTATTTGCAATAATTATATAAAAATTAAATAACAATATATATTAATTATGTAATAGCGGCAAAATACTTTAATTTATTGAAAACCTTTCAAATTATTTTCAAAAGACATAAAGTAATATTTTAAATATAAAACTGCATTCAACATATTCTTAAACTTATTATTTACAAAAATAAAAGTTTAAAGTTTAAATTTATGTTAAATTTAAATTTCAAAACATATTGAAATTCTTCAAATGAGAATAATTATTGACGCACCATAGTATATAAGTGTCCACCCAAATCTACAAATTTTCCTAGTTAAAGCTTAGTTTGCTAACATTAGCAAATAATATATATATAATATATAATAATATAAAGATAATGGAAGGTTAATAGATTACGTTAATTCTTTAGACAGAAATTTTGTATTCATAATTTTATTACAAAGACCTGATTGTCGAGTCTTCAGTGAAAATTAAGCTCCCTGAAAAGTAACCATTATTTCTTTCTTAGTCAATTGTAGGGCATTATTTGTTGTCATTAATAAATCACCTATAATTTTTTCTAATGTAATTCAAATAAGGATCAAAGTATAAGGTTTATTTATATTATTTTACAGATATATTAAGACAATTATATTACAAAAATAAAAATTATGGTGTTATGTTGTTATTGTTAAAATTAAAAAAAAATTTTCGTTTGTCTTATTGTTTGTTAAAAGAAGATGCACTAAATATATGTATATTATTTGTAAAAATAATAAAAAATAATAATAAAAAGCGATTACCCATTCGGTATCATTAAATGTATAAGCGAAATCGTATTCACACTATCTTTTGATATCTGTAAGTAGTCAAATATTTTCTTAAACTGTACTTCGTAAGATTTCGTGAAGTTTTTCATATTTTCTGGATTAACCCGGTATTCAGAGCTTTAAGCGAAATTGTCAGTAAGTCAACGTTTAAATAAGTGATTTGGATGACACATAGATAATATAACATCTATTGCGGCTTATTTATCTTTATTAAAAACAGTATTTTTTATGTATAATTTAATTTAATAAATACAAAAACTATATATGTGTGAAATTACTTAATGGTTACTCTTGAGAGTCACTGATTATTGTGTTATTCTAAGAACAATCATTGGCGTCTCATTTCACCGAATTCGACGCTTAGCTTCTGGCTGAACGTTGCCATTGCTATCGGTACGTCAACGTTCATATGAATAATTTAGATAAAACATATACAGCATAACACCTATTGCACTTTGATTTAGTTGCTTTAAAGATTTGAAAGATAAACAGATTTGTTTGTGAAATACTGAAGTCTATGCTGAAGTCTTCCGGTATTTTAATTCTTCACGTATCATGCTGTGCCTGTGACCGATATTGGAGTCTGTCACTGGTATTCACCGCAACTGGTTTACTTAAAACCAAATCTGCTAAGAATGTATTATGCTATACATTCTTCAATAAATAAAAATTAATTTTTATAGTATTTAAAGAAAAACATTGTTAGAATATTAATTTGAAAAAATATCTAGTTATTACATATTCAAAAAATTTTGTAACAAAACAAGTAAAAAAGATGGCTTCAGCGGAACCGAAGCTAAAATACTCTTCACACAAACGCGCTGGAAATTTATTAGAAAACGGTTTTAGATTAGAACTTTAAATTTATATCATTATATGTCATATATAATATAAGTTTTTGCAATTATATTTAGTTCATTTTTAGATTTTTAACAACTAAATCAGGTAATTTAGTAAAAAATAAAAAATATATCAATTCACTTTTTTGTAAGCACATACCATAATAATGGATGAAATTTAGATTAGGTGAGATTATGGGCATATACTAACGTTCATTTAAAATTATAGATATATCTATATATAAAATATAATATAATAAACATATCTAAATCGGCAGTTTTTATAAAATATTAGATTAAAAAAAGAAAGAATAATATAAAACCCTGCAATAAATAATGTATCTAAAAAAAGAACAGTATTAATATTTAACAAACGAAAGTATAAACATAATTAATTAATTCAATTATTCTACAGCTTCATAATTTCATTCTAATATAACACAGCAAGTGAATTTGTTAATAAACGCCAAGTCAGAATATCCAAGTATGACTTTGGGTCAGTCATGAACACTGACTCTGAGCTTCAAATTTGGTAGGGCACGAGTTTAACCCTTGGTACTTGCAGACTCCAAAAAAATTATTTGCGCATAATTAAATAAAGAAATAGTTCCAAGACCTTTGATAATGGATATTTGGCAATATTCGAAACAGCTGTATGGTCAGCCAAAAATTCAGTTAATTAAAATAATATTTATTCGAAATTTTTCTACCAAATATACTAGTTTCTATTAAGCAAATTAGTCAGTTCTATCATAAAACATGCTAAGTTGCAACTTGCATAAAATATTAGGTCTATTCCAAGAGCTACTCGTAGTAACTTTGAGTAACACTGTGTACGAGTATACATAAGTGCGTTCCACCAGCAAATTTTCGTCGAAATTTTACTTGAATTTTACTACGGGTATCTCGTGGAACAGGCCCATTATCAAATTTTACCTAAAATCAGTTCAATTCAGAATATAAATTTCAAAAAAAAAAAATATATATATAAATAATAAAAAAGTTAGTTCTAATTATTTAACACTTACTTTTTATACATTATACCATATCATATACGCAGTTTTGTCATTTCGCCAAATTTTCCATTTGCAAAAAGTTCATGTGCAAAATTACAATAGACTAACTCAGAAAATGATAGACCATAGACTAATGGCGCCGACAGATACACAGGTAGAAATATAGACAGACACACGAACAGGCAGGCAAATAGAAGGACACCGCTTAGAAAATTGTCTCCTTAGCTTACAACTATTCATTATATTGTCTCCCCGATGTCTTAATCCTCTCCGCTTCAGAAACATCTCCGCAAACTAAATTAAATCTATTCCGTAATTATGTGTGTAGGGTATAAAAACAAAGTCAAAATCACTACCCATAGCATCTGTGAAAATAAAATTGCATGTTTAAAATTTCAAATCATTTAATTAAAATAAAAATAGAATATACTGACAATAAAATAATTATATGATAATACATATTAATAATATTAAAATAAAATTATAAATTCAATTTAAGTGCCACAAATTGTTTATCAAAATTATTTCAAAATAAAATTGAAGCTTAGTTTATTATTTATTATTTGCTGAAATTCTTGTTAAACTATTCGCCTCACTTGTTTTTCGATTAAAATGTATTGAAGATAAAAAAAAATCATCAATTGAAATGGGGGAATACTGATAACGCGTAATCAATTTAAAACACTTATCTGAACTTTCTCAAATTATTTTAAAAATTATTTTTATTTTGTAGACTGTTGTCATGGCCCTGGATATCCAACTCCATTGGATGCTATGAAAACTGGACCTCGCGAGAAGTTATTGTATACCGTAACTGTGCAACCGAACAAAGAAGAGCCACATGGTGATTATCTATCAACAGTTGATGTTGATCCTGAAAGTCCCACATATTGCCAGGTGAGTGTCTTATACTTTTATTTAATACTAAACTCAAATAAATTTCTCTATAATTTCTTTTCATATCATTTTAGGTAATACATCGAACGTTTACTAATCGCACTGGAAACGAACTACATCACTCCGGTTGGAACGCTTGTTCGAGCTGCTACTATGTTGACAAGAATGCCAAAAAGATACCAAAGCGAGACAAGTTAGTTTTACCGGCAATAAATTCAGACTTTGTTTATGTTGTGGATGTTGTGACAGATCCTCGTAAGCCAGAAATTTGCAAGGTCATCGATGGCAGCGTAGTTAAAGCCCAAAATGTAACAGCTCTGCACACTACACACTGCCTAGCGGATGGCAATATAATGATATCCACTCTGGGTGATGCTGATGGCTATGCTAAAGGTGATTTCATTATTTTTGATTCTGAATTCAATTGCAAGGGAACCTGGACTAAAGGCAATAAAAAAGCACTTTGCGGCTATGATTTTTGGTATCAGCCTTATTATGATGTAATGGTCGCCTCTGAATGGGGCGCACCCAACAAATTTAGACGGTATTTTATATCCTTTATATGTAAATTAATATTAACGATCAAATATTACATATATACCATCTTAGTGGCTGGCAAAATGAGGATCTAGATGATCTCACTCAATACGGTTGCCGTATACATTTCTATAAATGGTCAACTCGTACTTTATACCAAACTATAGATCTTGGTTTGGAGGGATTTACACCATTGGAAATACGTTTTATGCACGACCCAAAGCGCCCAGATGGTTACGTTGGTTGCGCATTATTCGCTAATGTTTATTATTTCAAAAAGAAACCAGACTCTGATGAATTTGAATGTAAGAAAGTTATTGACATACCTAGTAAATTGGTGGATACTGGCGATGGTATTGCAACACCAATGGGAGGTATGATTTCGGATATTATCATATCGCTAGATGACAAATATTTGTATGTAAATTGTTGGCGTCATGGTGATTTACGTCAGTATGATATAACTGATCCAGAAAATCCGAAACTTACTGGCCAAATATTTTTGGGTGGTGCCATTTGCAGTGACTTGACGGAAGTCAAAGTCATCGAAGATGAAGAGCTAAATGTAAAATTATCAAATGCTTTTTCCTTTGTAAATTATAAAATTTAAATATGTGTTTTATATATAGGAACGCCCACCACCTTGTTATTTGAAGGGACATCGTTTAGAGGGTGGACCGCAAATGATGCAATTGTCTTTGGATGGTAAAAGGCTATATGTATCCAGTTCACTATATTCACCGTGGGATAAAATTGTAATTATTGAATAATAGTACAATGAATTCAAATTCTTTCTTCATTTATTTTATATATTATTACAGTTCTATCCCAAAATGGTTGAAAAGGGTGGTCATATCTGTCAAATTGATATTGATGTCGAGAACGGAGGTATGAAGTTGAATGAAGATTTTTTTGTTCAATTCGGTAATGAACCATTTGGACCAACATTGCCACATGAAATGCGTTATCCTGGTGGCGACTGCACATCTGATATTTGGCTTGTAAACGATGATAAGTGAACAGTTTAATTAATTCTTAAAAAAATATATTTCTTTTAATGCGAAACACAGTTTGAATGCTTGATTATGTTAATACAGAGCACATAGATGTTATACACGTATAAAATATTTTGAACGGACACTATAGAAAAAATAAAAATACTGCAAAATAAATTTTATCTTATTTAAAAATGTATATTAGTAATATAAAAAATATTATATGCAGACAAGCATTCAGATGAATGGAGATTCAACTCTTAATAAGGCACAAATAAAAATTGTTGCTCACTAAAAGCATAGAAAATAGAGTTTTCACTTTAGCACTGGATGTTCTTTATTTATTGAAATCAAATATGGATCGATCATTCAAGAACTCTTTTTATTTTAACTTCAACCTATGGAACCGAAAACATAGGTTGATCTTCAATTTAAACAACGCTCACCACTTTTCCCTAATCCTTCCACCATCAACCACCTTCCATTCACATCCTAACCCATGTAATTGTAAAATCCTAACCCATGTAAAATCCTTTCGTGTGATCTGCTTTAAGTTCCCAGCAGGTCACAACAACTACAACACAATAAAGATTAGGATTTGATAGTGTGTGATTAGAGTGAGAGGGAGTGTTGTTTGTGATAATAGGTGGAGTGAATGCTTCGTTTATTTTTTCAAGTTTCTTGATTTTAGCGATATTGCTGGCAATTGTCAGATATTAGAGTTAAACAGATAGAATGCCTAAGGACACATATAGAATATATAAACCAAAACATTAACTCTACTATATGCCAAAAATTACTGAAATCTTTCTGTATGGAACAATTAAATACAAAATGGAAAGAATATACAGACATCTATATGTAAATGTGATTCTCTCACATTAAAAAAAAATAGTTAACGAACAGAAGATGACCCATCAAGGTATCAGTCATGCAGTAGGGATTCAGGTTATTCTCAATTAAAAGATTGCATATTTCCTTTACCGATTCCTGCCATTGTTGTGAAAACAATGAAAAAAGAAATTCTGAAAATGCAGAATTGAAGGAGAGAAAAGTAGTAAAATAGTAATTAATAGGTTATATGGCTTCCAATGGAATTGAGTACTATGACTATGGGAAAAATTTGTGCTTAACAGTAATAATATAGCTATATGCTTATATAGAAACTTGACTGATCTTCAGTCAACTCCAGCTAAAAACAGGAGTGGCACGTCTTCTGCATTTTGTGATAGAGTAATTGGGGTGTCAATGCTCCCGAATGAGTGATTGTTCTGTCTGCTTATCATTATGATTAATATAGGTACAATATGTATTTAAACTTCTTCGACATATGAGTTTTAAATTACAAATTTGATTTAAGTGAGTTAGACATTATAATGAAATAAAAAATAAACTTTCCTAAAAAAACTAATATAAAACAAAGTATGCAGGAGTTGTAACATTAATCAGCTTTAAGCCATTCACCTATATTGACTGATAATAATAAATGCTAATAATACCCACTTTTAATTTCTCTCCTATAACGCTTCATACTCATATCTCAGAAAATAGAAAAATATTATGTCTAAATTTTACTCTCTAATTTAAGTTTACTAAAATATATAATTTAATACTCTAAAATCGGTAATAACGAATACGGAACGGCTTCTTTACAATAAATTCATATCCTAGTATATACCTTCTTCTTCTTATATTATCCTCTTCTCCCATCGGGCCTCCAACTAGTATGTACTGATAGCTTTGAATTAAAACTTGTTGGAACATCAATTGATAACATATTATTAATAATAATAAATATTATAATAAAAGTTTTATTACCAATTAAATTGCATATGTGACAAATATCGGTTCGTTGCGAACATAATAAAATGATTAATAATAAATAATTATGTTTTTAATTTTTTTATTTTTAATATTTTCTTAATAACAATAATTCACTATAATCTAAATTATCTATATACAATTTTTACTATTGACTATTTTGTATGACTACTCATACGAAATATCCTTAAAACTAAGACTTAAATTAAAGAAACGATTAACGCTTCAAAAGGAAGCTAGTGTTGGAATTTACAGATTAAAATATTGCACAAATTATAAACGAAATTATTTAAATATAAATTTTATATAAAATGTTTGTTGGTTTCTTGATGAAGTTTTGATTCTTCGACATCCCGCTGCCATTGATTACGTGCTGCTTGCATAATTAGATCTTGGAAGGAACCAAATTCAGTGTTGTGATGGGTTTTAGCTGGAACGCCCAAGTCTCCTTGGTCTTCATACAAATTTTCATACATATAATCACTATCCTTACCGGAGGACAATGGCAATGCATGATCTTTATAATCCATATAATCATCTTGATCATTTGATTCCGCACTGGAATCAATGTCAGAGTCAATTCCATGTCGTTTATTGAATATTTTCAAAAGTTGATCAATTTCATTGGTTGGCATATCAGAAACCATTTTTACAGCAATTTTCCTAGGCGAACGTTTTAGTTCCTTTTTTGGTTTATCAGCTAACTCAAATCTTAACGATGTTTTTAAGGTCCTCTTCGACTTTTTCAATTGGTTGAGTAGAGATTTATAGAAATCATCAAAAGAGTTTGTGACTTGTGTCCTGCTTTTAGTGTTGGGAATTGTGATATACTTTGAATTTTCATTAATATAACGCTTCACCAAATCCTTGATGGCTGGTTGATCATCATGTGACTTTAATAAATCAACTGTAAACAATAAGAAATAATTTATTAGTTTATTTATATATTATATTGATTTATAAGAAAAATAAAAATTCTAATTGTTTAAATATTAACTATGAAGTATGACAAAACTTTTTAATTATTCAAAGCTTACCTTTATCTTGTGGTAATCCGAGCATTTGTTGAATACTTTTCCATTCGTCGGTATCCTCATTTTCAGTTTTAATTTCCGGTTGTTTAGCAGCGTTTTTATTTACAGTTGGTTTTATATATAATCCAACTGCAGAGTGCGCTAAGCACATTAATAAAATAATGAAGATATACGTATTTAGCATTGTTGAAAATTTTTAAATATTCGAAGTTGTTACTTCTGCGATAGTCAATTTTGAACTGATGTCCAAATTCTATCAACGGTATGTTTTATACCCGTTCGATGTTCTGAAGAATTATGCTCAACTATTTTGCACATACAGCTAAGTCCGCTAATTACGCGTCCGGCCGGTCGGTCGCCAGTGTATTTTTTTACAGATGTGTCTATGTACACATTTAACAGTAGCCGAACTTGTGCCAATCATTGCGCTCACCAGCCAGACAAAAGCCAAATTAATTTATTTTACACAGGAGACAAGTGCCGTGAATTGCTAAATTGTATCCCGTATCCCGAATCACTTTTACTCACTTTTCGCTAAACAAATCCGTTTCAAGGCAATTAAATGCTGCAAGTAAATATTAATATTTTTATAGATTGCAGTCTTCGTGCAATAGCTACAGGTAACCATCAGTCAGGCTCGACCAAACGTACCCATCCGCCAGGCTAACTGCGTAAAGTGTGTGTACAATATTCGCGTCTCTTGTCTCTTCGGCTGCTTTATTGCAGTATTTTTAATGAGGGTTAAGCGGTTTTTATCAATGCACGGCATTACTTTTACCGAACAGGTATATAAACACATACAATTGTCAACTCGCCAGTACACAAGCGACACTTGACCTGAACCAATTTTACAGAAGTGAAGGAATTAATGCCGTGAGTGTTGTAGCGCCAGTCATAAAGGACTCGATTGTTTTGATCTGTAAATGGCAGATTAAAAGTCGTTAAGATACAAAGTGCTGGTCGGATTGCTCAAGTTAATTGAAGTCGGATTGATTGCAAATATTTTGGTTATTAATAATGCAACCACCAAATGGATTTTAAACTACCAATTGAGAGGAATAATTACGTTAAAGTAGATATATATATATATATTAACAACATGCTAATATATATAAATGTATATTAACAACATATTAATATATGTAGATATATATTCAGAACATATAGCAGAGGAACACAGAATCTTATTCAAATCATGTTTTAAGCAAAAAGTCTATGCCATGTTCTTATTTATAATTTTATGAGAATATTAAGTATAAAAAAATTTAATTAATTAAATTAGTTAAGGAAGGTCTTTAAAAAATTCTAAAAATTAAAACAATAATTAATCAATAATCTATAGTCAGTGTAGTAATACGAACTACTATTGTATCCCAACTTATAAAGCAGTAAGATCGTGTCCGAAGAGCTACTAAAAATGAATTCGTTATAATAATAAAATATTAATATTTTAATATTTTTTCAATAAGAAAAATAAATATTATATTATAAATATAAATTATATTATTTGATCCCATCAAAAAATACATAAAGGATAGAGCCCTGAAATTATTTGCGAAATCTGACAGACTTACCAACACCGCGTTATCAAATCTTAGAATGGTTACAGGCTCCTCGGGGAGGTATGCAGATCTGAGGTCAATTATTGCTTAGTCTGATGAAGTGATAAACAATACTCTAGTCAAGGCGCAAAGAGGGGTTTTGAAGAAACCTCGCAGTTAATAGAGAGTAAAAGTGCTCAGGTGCACTGACTCAACTAGCCTTAACATAATTAATTAACATATAAATATGACAGTATATGGCAATAACATATCACGTAAAAGGATGCATAGAGTACAATTAAATATATATTAAATTTATATTACTATATTTTATATTTTATTAGGAGATATTATTTTTTATTTTATTTTTTATCAGGGGTGCAAAATTTTATCCCATTGTTGAAGGCGTATGTCAGCGGCATCAAGCTCCAGAATTTTTCGTGAATACTTGCCGTGAAGGCTTAACACTACGGTGTTCTTCATCCACGCATTAGTATTTTGCGCCGATGGCCGCCCCATTGGAACTCCGAGGAACTCCGCCAGTACCAGTTGAAGTTATGTATTTGGACACAATTTCCTCCTTGGTAAGGAACAAACCCTATCCAACACCTCTGGTGATTTTGAGTCACAATAACCGTTTGGAAAATGCAATTTTACATCGAATGATTTAAAATGAACACAATCATTCTGGTCGCGTAAGTTTGAGTTTTAAACACAATACCACCACACTCCCTATAAGGAACCAACCTCCTGGCGGAATCAGCGATAATTTCCGCAGCATGTCATAAATGTAGTTGACGCTTCCTTCTATACCTTTTATAAGTTACTGTAAATATATCGAACAGCGCTATTCGATCGCCTGCCAATAATATTCTCAGTATATGTAGATTGGAGGGCAGCAGAAAAAATTAAAAACCTTCATAACTTATTTGGAATAAAATAAAAACACGGTGATAATGTTATATTTAGTTTTATTCATTTATTTAATATAATTCATTTATATGTAAGTATGTATGTTGATCCTTTTTTCGAATCAGCGCAACTAGGCACTTTTACTCTTTGATAGCTGGGGGTACTACAGGGTCCCACCCATCTCATTGACTAATTTATGTACTCCCTATAAGCTTCATTATTATTCAGTGATTGATCTAAGATCTGCGTACCTCCCCGTGCGGAGAGTGATTACTCTAAGATTAGATAGTGCTGAGTAGGATAGCCAGCCAGTTTTCGCATATAACTTCAGGGCTCTGTCCCTTATGTATTTTTTGATCGGGTCTATTCTAAGGTCTCTTAGCATGTCGTTTGTGCGGATGTACCAAGGCACTTTGAAGAGTCTTCGGAGAGCCTGACTTTGAGCAACTTGTACCATTAAAATAAAATACTGTCATTACTAAAATATACTAAAGGAAAATTAACGTAATTATGGTGGATTAGAAACATGTCGTGGGCCGCACAAATATAAGGCACAGGCCGCATGCAACCTTTGGGCCGTGCATAGGACAGCCCTAATATAGAGCATAGAGCGTTAAAATATAGAGCATTATGGTAATTTATAAGTTCTATATGCCAAGTGATGACACTGAAAAGCCTAAGTGGGAGATAGACCATTAAAACTTTTAACGCTTCCTCATCTAACTCCATTTGGAGGACAATCTTCGAGTCGATTTTAGAGAAAATCTATGAAGTACGCTTTTGTGAATCGGCAGTGGATCGGCAGTCAACTGGTTTTGTTACTAATACAATACGTGAGATCCACTCTTTGAGTTATATTGGCTTTCAAATACCACTATCCGTAAAGCATTTTGCTTTTGTTTTAAATTAAATGTTTAAAATTTGAAAAATTTAAGTTTTTCAAATACGTATGGTTGCAAATATATACTAATTTTGATTTGCTTGATTATTTATATATTATTTATATTACAATAATGACACATCTTGCTCTAAGCATTATTATCTCTATTCGTTTAGGATAATCTAATTAACCTAGACTTAGAGCAAATAGTGCTTAGATTATCCTAAGTTAACCTGAACCCAAATAAGCTGTATTCACAACCTATTAATATCCTTTGAAAAAAACTATGGACCTTCTCCTTATCAATGTGATATTCATTGACACTGGACACATAAGCAGATAAGATAGGAGAATGTGTCGCTCTACACTGTTAAGCACTCGCATTGCTATTCGTTAAACAGAGGTTCACGCCTGAAAGGCGACTAGGTATATATCTATACAGATAGTGAAATTAATGTTTTACTTTAAAACCCTAATTTAAATTAAAATTTATTTTTCACTAAGTGTTAGCATAAGTATGTAAATCAGTGGATTTCAATTGAATAGATAAATACACCAAGGAAACATGGAAATTCTCTTCAAGACTTCGAAAATATTATTTTCTAGTACTGTCGCTTTCAGCGAACCTAATTAATTAGATTAACTAATTATATGTTAAGTTAAGCATCACTCTGGAATTATTGGCAATATTTCTATAATTTTTTAATTCATTAGGAAATTGATATCCCACAATTTCTTTGATATTGTTTAGTCTAACATTATATATCTTGAAAAATAATTATAAAGACAATAAGTGTTCAATTTCAGTCCAATAAGATAAAAAAAATTGATAGTGATTTTAATGGAAGATTATTTAAGAAATTAATATGCAATCAAAAATTTAAAATTTAAATTTTTAATATCTGAGG